TTGGAAAATATTGGGCTTTGCAGGATTCCCTTACCCCTCCCCATCCCAACATTCTGCCAGGCTGCAATCATGACAGAACAGGGACATTTTTGTTATCAGTATGAAATTTAAAACTTCACCTGTAATAGTTTCCCCTAATCTTTTGGGCTTCAGAAATACTTAATTTTTTTATTACAATGATTTTTACAGGTATATGAATTGATGGAAAATGAAACACAGAGTTTCCAAGATATAGGCACTAAGTTTACCAGCACATTTTTAAAAATCAAAAGAATTCACAGTAACCTAATTAAATCCTACCTTCGCTGAAAACTATGCACCTAACCTTCTACCTTAAACTTCAATCACACAAACCTGCTTCATTCCCACTTCAGCCCTGAATGATACTTCAGTCACTTCACATCATCCTGAAGAGGGAGCAATGCACTCTCCATAGGCAGTTCAGAAACTTCAGAATACAGTATATAAAAGAAAATTATCGCAGATATTAAAGTAATTATCATTTAAAAATCTAGTTTGGGGAGAATCAAGACGGCAGAGGAGAAAGTGAAGTCACACTGACCTCCTCCCAGGACCAACCTGGAATTAGAACTAAATTGTGGAAAAATCGCCTGGAACAAACAACTGAACAAGAGCGAGAGAGGAGCCTTGTAACCTCAGAGACAGAAGAATCAGCTCTAGCACAATCTAACTGGTAAGGAGTGTGGTACAAAACTGAGAAGGCGGGCGGGGCGCCCACAGGCAGCACCAGAAGGATATCGAAATGGCCAGTTGGATCCCCCTGAGAAAAGCAGGGTCTAAACCAAAAGCGGGATGTTTAGCCCACAGCACCAGAGCCCAAAAACTACACAGAAAACAGCCAGCTGCAAAAAGTGGCAGGCTTGCTCTCTGCCAGAGACAGGCGGCCAGAGATGCAAAGAGCCTTCTATAGGACCAATGCAAAATTTTTATTTGCAGCCTCTTACCCTGGTCTCTGGCAAAGAGGGGGGAGAGTGGGCTAAAGACACCTGAGGAGACACTGGGGGAGGCGGCTTCGGGGAGAGAACTGAGAGAGTAGCCGGCAGAATCTCAGTGCTGGCTCATCCCCCATGCGGCAGCAGCCATCTTGCTCAGGCAGAGACCACTCGCCCTGAGCGGCACTAGCATCAATGGACCCCTAACCCCGTCCCCAGGTGGGATTCCACTGCTCCCTGTGCACTCGAAGCCACCTGCTGAGTGCAGAGTGGCAGCCACAGACAGTAGATACCTGGCTAAAGGGAGCTCAGAAAGGTCTGGAGACACTTACAGAGAGACTAGGGACGGAGGCTTTGGGGAGAGAAGGGAGAGAGTAGCTGGCAGGATGCCAGTGCAGACTCCTCCCCCATAGAGCAGCAGTGTGAGAGGACCCAATAACCCTGCCCCCAGGAGGGATTCCATCCCACCCTGAGCTGTCTAAGGCGGCCTGCTGAGTGCAGAGAGAATAGATTAACAGCTGAAGGGGACAGCCACAAACAGTAGATTACTGGAATTCTCCAACAGACTGCCACAGGTCAGACAGGGTCAACATCTGACATCATCACAGGCAGATCCAAGAAGAAAAAATGGTCTCCTACCACAGAAGTTCACATCACAAAGCCAGGAAATCAAGACAGATCAACTTAAGAAGCAGAAGCAAAAGAGAAGAGTCTCACAAATAATGGGAAGACAAAGAAATACGCCCCACTTCAAGGGAAAGGAGGAATCCCCACAAAGAGAACTAAATGAAATAGAGGCAAGTAAACTATCAGATACTGAGTTCCAAACAACAGTTCTAAAGAAGCTCAATGAGCTCAGTGAGCTCAGAGAGAATTACCAAAAACTACAGGGAAACTATGAGGACCTTACCGCAAACTATGTCAGCATGAAAAAGGACATAGAAACTACCAATGAGAGACAAGAGGAAATGAAGAATACCATTTCTGAATTGAAGAACACAGTAGAAGGAATCAAAAGCAGGCTAAATGAAGCTGAGGGCCGAATCAGCAAGCTGAAGGATAAGGTAGAATAAAGCTCCCAGGAAGAGCAAGAAAATGAAAAAAGACTCAAAAAGAATGAAAGGCATTTCGGGAAATGCAGGAAAACCTGAAACGTAATAATATCCATATAATAAGGATACCAGAAGGAGAAGAGGATGAGGAAGGGATAGAGAACCTGTTTGAAAAAGTAATGATGGAAAACTTCCCTAATTTGGAGAGAGAAAAAGTCACACAAGTCCAGGAAGCACAGAGGGTCCCATTCAAGACGGACCCAATGAGGCCCTCTCCAACACATCATCATTAAAATGGCAAATATCGCAGACAAACTGAGAATCCTAAAGGAAGCAAGGGAGAAACCGGTAGGAACATATAAGGGAGCCCCAATACGGCTAGCAGCTGACTTCTCAAGAGAAACACTACAAGCCAGAAGAGAATGGCAAGAAATATTCCAAGTCATGAAAAGCAAAGGCCTGCAACCAATACTGCTCTACCCAGCAAGGCTCTCCATTAAAATGGAAGGCGAGATAAGGAGTTTCCCAGACAAAAGAAGGCTACAAGATTACACCTCCACCAAAGCAGCACTGCAAAATATGCTAAAGGGGCTGTTTTAAGGAGATGAAGAAAAAGAATCTATGAATACCCCATTCCTTTCTCAGTCACCAATACTTGATATTACCAATATTTTTAATACTTAATCTGATTGTGACAATGATGTGCTATTTTAATTGTTACTTTACTATTGGTTGAAACTAAACCTGTTTTTGTAGATTTCTTGCCTATTGCTATTATTTTTTAAAAAGCTTTAAATGACTTTTTGGTATTCTTTATCCATTTTTTGATTAAAGGTTTGTCGAACTTTTTTCCCTAAAAATCCCCCAAAAGCCCCTCTTAACCATGTTTTAGATGTATTGCAAATACTTTCCTATTCTATTCCTTGTCCTTTAACTTTTTTTATATGTATATTACTATAGAGTCTTAAATGTTTAATATAGTCATGGTGTCAATATTTTACTTTATAGCTTCTGGGTTTGAATATGTTACTTCAGGGTAATAAAAATATTATTTTGCATTTTCTCCTAAAACTCCTCAGATTCTACACACTGATTTTTAACTCACCTGAATATTTCTTGTATAATGTGTGAAATAGGGCTCTATATTTGTTTTACTTCTAGTAATAGTGGTCCATGCACTTTATTTACTGAATAAGCCTTATTTTCCCCATTGATTTGAAATATCAACTTAATCACATATTATATTGTTAGATATATTCCATTGTCTCTATAATGCTCATTATACTTCATTGATCTACTTGATTACTTCTGTGCTGGCATCATGTAGGTTTAATTGCTGAGACTTATAATGGATTTAATTTTTTTTAATATTTTATAATTAACTTTGACATTTAAAAAAATAAATAAAATCAATCTGCATTTAAGAAAGAAAGAGAGAGAGAGAGAGATGGAACTCCTACCTTCTGCAACAACATGAATAGAACTGGAGAATATTAAGCTAAGTGAAATAAACCAGTTGATGAAAGACAAATATCATATGATCTCAACTATAAGTGGACTCTATTCAACAAAATAAACTAACGAACAAAATAAACCACAGGCACGGAAACATGGAGCAGACTGAAAGTGACCAGGGGGGATGGGGAAAGAGGAGAATGGTGGAAAGAAGGGGAAGGGACTAGACAAAGAACATGTATGAATGGACACGGACAACAGAGTGGGAACTGACTGCAGGAGAGGGGTGGGGGTGGGATGAGTGGAGGGGGGTAAAATGGTAAAAATTGAGACAACTGTAATAGAATAAACATAATTTATAAATTAAAAAAAATAAGAATAAAAATTGAAAAATATAAAAAATAAAAATCCAGTTTGGAAATAATGGTATTTTTAGAGATTTAAAGCATTCTGATCTAATTGTTTTTCACCAGCTTCTAAATTCTCTGATCCAAACTTTCAAATTTTGAACTTTTTTGTACCTTATTTTTTATAATACAGTAAGAAATGGACTAGAAGGAAAATTTTATTTTTTGAAAGGAAGCTATTTAGAGTGGGATTAAAAGGTCTGGTATAAGTTTTCTCAAAAAGAAAAAGATAAAAAAAGAAAATTTGTTCATAGTAATATACCTGAAGAATTTTTTTAAAAAAATCTTTGTAACAATATACTAATATTAAAGGTAGTATCACAGGTCTTTCAATTAAATACAGTTAAATATTACAAAATCAAGTCTTTTATGGGACTCACTTTCTGATTAGACAAAGTTACCAATACTCTATCACAGTAAGAAATTTGGATTTTTTTAAATTTAATATAACTTACTAAGAACTGTAAAATACACACATACAGATGTGGGGAAAGGCACATATATGTACCTTTCCATTATTTTTCTAAATCTCAATGATACACTTTCTCTAAGCACTGATATATTTCCCTCCACTGGGAAATGGCTATTTTGATCATGATAAAATAATCCTAGGTCTGCCCTGACTGGTGTGGCTCAGTGGGTTAAGCATCATCCTGCAAACCAAAAGGTTGCTGGCTCAATTCCAGTCAGGGCACATGGCTGGGTTGCACATGGCTGGGTTGCAAGCCAGGTCCCAGGTTGGGGGTGTACAAAAAGCAACGGATGGATGTTTCTCTTGCACGTCGAGGTTTCTTTCCCTCTCTTTCTCCCTCCCTCCTGTCTCTCTAAAAAATATAAATAAATAAAGTCTTTATTTAAAAAATACAATCCTAGGTCTTATGTAAAAGTTCTATGTTAAACCTGCCAACTTTGATTTCCAAAGGGATGAAGTTCTAAGCAAAAGCCAGATGAATTTGCTATGTTCTCTGATGGAATTCACACTGTTAAACCATAGTTACTCAGCCCTAGAATGTACCTTTCACTTTAGTTCTGTTGAGTACCCAAATTTTCGGGTAAGAAAGTGGCAGGTACATAATTTTAGGTGTGGATATGAGAACAGAATGTTTAATTACCATTAAATATTTTTTACTTACCTGCAATCCACTAAAAGATGGAACAAAATAAACTCCTTCAGAATCTTCCAAACTTTTGGCCATTTTTTCAGTCTCAGCAGCATCTGTGAAAAGATCTGTAAACACAAAAACAAACAAACAAATAAAAACTCTAAAACAAAATGAAGGGGTTGGCGAGGGACATAGAATTATGTTATATGACTAGTGTTTACCTGCACCCACATTTATTATAACTTTAATATGAAAGGTTACTCATTTGAAAGGGCCAACACAAAGGCCAATCTGCTCTAGTACTGTCTGGGCCTCATTTTCAGAGCGCATGGAAGGGGCAAGAGAGACAGAGGGCACTCTTAGGCTGCGTATCCAGCCGGCCTTACTTTTCTCTTTAAGGATATTCATGTTGTTTAAAAATATCAATTCTGTATCTTTTTTGGCATTAAAAATGTATTCTCCTAAGGATAATACCCATTCCAGTTTTCTGATGAATATATCTTCTGCCTAGAATAATAAAGAGAATCAACTGAAAAACTACCGGATCTACTGCTCAATAAGGGTCAGGAACATATAGATATATCAAAAGTAAATATTTTAAAAACAGAAAACAAACAAGATCTAATTCATTTAGTGTGCTTTTAACTGATATTGATATATATATATCTATCTATATATATATATAGATAGATATATATATATCTATATAATACATACAGGAAAATACACAAATCCTAAGTGTATAGCTCAATGTATTTCCACAGTGTGAATACACCCATGTAACCAACACCCGGATCAAGATACAAACTTCTTTGTTACCATGCTTATGAGATTCATTTGTTTTGTTACCAGTAGTTGTACTTTATTCATTCTCACCCCTGCAAGGTACCATTGCATGACCATACACAATTGATTAAACTATTCTACAGCTGATACGCATATGAGTAGTTTCCAGATTTGGGGTAATATATAGTTGTATGCCTTCTTTTGGGGGGGACATATGCCTATATTTCTGTTTGCTACATACCAAGGGATGAAATTCCTAGACCTAGGATCTTCATATTTAGGACTAGCTTTAGCAGATACTGCTATACTGTTTTCCAAAGTGGTTCTACCAATTGAAGGCTCCTCTCAGCAGTATGAGAGTTGCAGTTATCGCATACTCTTGCCAACAATTGATACTGTTTTTCATTTTAGGTATTTTGCTGGTATTATATGATGGTTTGGATTTGTATTTCTTTCCTTACTAGTGAAGTTGCAATCCTTTTCATTTGTCATTTGGATATCCTTCTTTGTAAGGTAACACCTGAATGAGCATGTGGGACTGACAACATAGATCAGGTGAAAGAGCTCAGAAATCAGTCATAATAAATATTGCTGGCTTTATACAGCCTTAATTAAGTTGCTTTTATTTTAGCATGTTTTTATTCTTATAATGAAGAATTGATAAAATACAAGAAGTTTAAGAAACATTTATATTAAAAGTCAAGTTAATGAGGACCAATCAATAATTATAAATTTTACTCAAAATGACACTTATCAGAACCATAAGTCACATTCACTTGGTCAAAAGGTCCAGATAACACATCAAAATGTCTGTAGCATTTTAAAAACTAATATTAAAAAGAAAACATTGGTTTTGAAATCTATACTTATAAAAAATCATGTTCAAATGTTTAAATTTTTTAATCAGAATGTGGAAAACATACTAGATGGTTGATTTAAAGAACATTTTTGGTAACAGATGAAGATAGTTCAGCAGATTTTTCTTAAGATTGTTGAAGCTGCAAACATTGATTTCTGAACTAACAGCATTTTTTATAATAAGGATACAGATACAGATCAGCATCATTAGATTATGTAGCACAATTGCCTGAATATTCTTGGAGAAAAATAAATTGAAAGTGATTATTAAGGAAAAAAAAATCTAGTTTATCCACATTCTTCACTGATTGTTCCATTCTGGCTTGAAGAATTTGTCCAAACAATCTTCCACTTAAACTGTTCTTAAATGGATTTATTGATGAAGAGTCTTTTGGGGTAAATAGACTTTATTCTGTCTCTCCCACTGAATACAATAAAGAATCCTGGATGGAACTCAGGGACACATGATCTGAGAACCAGAAGAATAACCCAGCAGGCTGGCAGTGGAACTCTAAGTACCACCAAGCCAGCAGAAATTTTCCTGCTTTTTTACTTCCTCTGCTATAGTCTGGCCTAGACTCAGGACAGCCTGAAATCAGAAATGTGGGTCTATATACTGGGTACAAATAAGCCTCCTCTTTCTGGTCTGAGGAGCAGGAGTAGAACAGAGAGTGGGGAAACTACCCCATTGTGTGTGTGTGTGTGTGTTTCATTCTACCTGAAAAAGGGGGAGGAGGGAGAGAGAAAGAACAAAAATAGAGCTTCAGGGGTCATTAGGAAAATGTCTAATATTTCTATCATTTAAATTCCAGAAGAAGACAAAGAATGTACTTCAGAAAAACTATTTGAAGAAAAAAAATGTCTGTACTCTTCCCACAGAGAAATAAAATGAAGTACTGATACATATAAAAACATGGGATGAATCTCAAAGCCATTATGCTGAGTAAAAGAAACAATCCCAACTGATTATATACTTAATGAATCTAGTTACTGTATATGATATTATGGAAAAGGTAAAAGTACAGGGATGGAGAAAAGATTAAATTGCTGCCAGATTAGATTGGGATAGGGATTGAAAACAAAGGAGTGTATAGGTAACTTGGGGGATGGTGACAGTGTTTAGTACAACAGTCACATTCCTGATTGTGTTAATGGTTATTCAGTCTATATAGTTCTTAAAACCAGTAGAACTATATCCCAAAATACCAAACCAAACACAATCACTATAAATATATAGATATAGTATGTGGATAGATGAAAAGACAGATTGAGTATGATGGTGGTTTCACAGATGTATATTTTGTCAACACTCACTGAACGTTTTAAAAAGGTGAATTTAATTATATGTAAATTCAACCTCAATAAAGTTGATTTAAAATTATTTTGAGAGGGGAGGCAAGACAGCAGAGGAGTGAATGGAAGTCGCACTGGCCTCTTCCCAGGACCAATCTGGAATTACAACTAAATTGTGGAAAAATCACCCAGAACAAACAACTAAACGAGAGTGAGAGAGGAGCCTTATAACCTCAGACAGACGGAAGGATCAACTTTAGCGCAACCTAACTTGTAAGGAGTACAGTAGAGGCTGGAGAAGGCAGGCACAGTGCCCACGGGCGTCAGCACCAGACGGATATTTAAATGGCCAGTGGGATCCCCTTAGGAATAGTGGGGTCTAACCATAAGCAGAAATCCATGGTCTACAGCACCAGAGCCCACAAAGTACACAGATAACAGCCAGCTGTGAAAGGCGGTAGGGTTGCTCTCTGACAGAGGCAGATGGCTGGACACACAAAGAGCTATTTAAAGGGCCAACGCATAAATTTTTCTACGCAGCCACTTACCCTGAGCTCTGGCAAAGGCAGAGCCAGAGTCTGCTAGAGATGCCTGAGGAGAGACTGGAGACAGAGGCTTTAAGGAGAGAACGGAGAGTAGCCAGTGGGATATCTGTGCTGACTCCTCCCAAATACGGCTCAAGCAGACCACTCCCCTGAGCGGCAGCAGTATGAGAGGACCCAATAACCCTGCCCCCAGGAGGGATTCCATCCCACCCTGAGCTGTCTAAGGCGGCCTGCTGAGTGCAGAGAGAATAGATTAACAGCTGAAGGGGACAGCCACAAACAGTAGATTACTGGAATTCTCCAACAGACTGCCACAGGTCAGACAGGGTCAACATCTGACATCATCACAGGCAGATCCAGAAAGTAAAAACAGCAGTCTCCAACCATAGAAGTTCACACCGCAAAGTCAGAAAATCAAGACAGATCAACTTAAGAAGCAGAAGCAAAAGAGAAGAGTCTCACAAATAATGGGAAGACAAAGAAATACGCCCCACTTCAAGGGAAAGGAGGAATCCCCACAAAGAGAACTAAATGAAATAGAGGCAAGTAAACTATCAGATACTGAGTTCCAAACAACAGTTCTAAAGAAGCTCAATGAGCTCAGTGAGCTCAGAGAGAATTACCAAAAACTACAGGGAAACTATGAGGACCTTACCGCAAACTATGTCAGCATGAAAAAGGACATAGAAACTACCAATGAGAGACAAGAGGAAATGAAGAATACCATTTCTGAATTGAAGAACACAGTAGAAGGAATCAAAAGCAGGCTAAATGAAGCTGAGGGCCGAATCAGCAAGCTGAAGGATAAGGTAGAATAAAGCTCCCAGGAAGAGCAAGAAAATGAAAAAAGACTCAAAAAGAATGAAAGGCATTTCGGGAAATGCAGGAAAACCTGAAACGTAATAATATCCATATAATAAGGATACCAGAAGGAGAAGAGGATGAGGAAGGGATAGAGAACCTGTTTGAAAAAGTAATGATGGAAAACTTCCCTAATTTGGAGAGAGAAAAAGTCACACAAGTCCAGGAAGCACAGAGGGTCCCATTCAAGACGGACCCAATGAGGCCCTCTCCAACACATCATCATTAAAATGGCAAATATCGCAGACAAACTGAGAATCCTAAAGGAAGCAAGGGAGAAACCGGTAGGAACATATAAGGGAGCCCCAATACGGCTAGCAGCTGACTTCTCAAGAGAAACACTACAAGCCAGAAGAGAATGGCAAGAAATATTCCAAGTCATGAAAAGCAAAGGCCTGCAACCAATACTGCTCTACCCAGCAAGGCTCTCCATTAAAATGGAAGGCGAGATAAGGAGTTTCCCAGACAAAAGAAGGCTACAAGATTACACCTCCACCAAAGCAGCACTGCAAAATATGCTAAAGGGGCTGTTTTAAGGAGATGAAGAAAAAGAATCTATGAATACCCCATTCCTTTCTCAGTCACCAATACTTGATATTACCAATATTTTTAATACTTAATCTGATTGTGACAATGATGTGCTATTTTAATTGTTACTTTACTATTGGTTGAAACTAAACCTGTTTTTGTAGATTTCTTGCCTATTGCTATTATTTTTTAAAAAGCTTTAAATGACTTTTTGGTATTCTTTATCCATTTTTTGATTAAAGGTTTGTCGAACT